ATAAACTTGTATTTTCATTTTTCCATGAAAAAAAGTGATAATATCTAAGTTAAAAAACTAGATAATGAAAACAGTAAATTCAATAATCATTAATGTAGATAAACTTGTATTTTCATTTTTCCATGAAAAAAAGTGATAATATCTAAGTTAAAAAACTAGATAATGAAAACAGTAAATTCAATAATCATTAATGTAGATAACAATTAATGGTGAATATAATGGTCTTTATTAACATAATTGATAACATGTGTAAAGTTTTGGTATAACTTTTATGAATAAACATATTTAAAGCTTTTTTTTTTCTTTTTTTGGAGAGGTTTTTTTTTTTTTTTTTTCTATAGGGCGCGTGCATTCGCCAGAGAGACAGACAGAGACATAGAGACAGAAAGCGAGAAATCACCCCCCAGGGGGGATGGTCATGCCACGCAATCCCTTCTCCTCCATTCTCCTCTCGGGATCTTGGGCACGCACGCACACACGCCCGGGGTGAGTTTTAAGCCACCGGGTCTGGGATGCAAACTAAGGTCGACTATATGGGAGTCCAGCGACACAGCCATTACGCTTACTGCTATTTAAAGTTTTTTAAAAATCAGTTGGTCAGATAAATTTAAAGCAGGTGTAGGAAAATCAAGTCTTCTGTTTCATGCTTAGATTGTGTGGATTTTTAAAAATATTTCTTTAATTGTTGGTTTATTGATTTGCTCATATTTTTGGTATTGGCATGCCTAACACGTAAGTATCTGACACCAAAAAGATACCATTACTTTTATTGCTTGGTAAAATGATAATTGTCTTATTTTTTCTGGGCATCAAAGGGATATAACAATAGTTAGAATGTCACCAAGCCCATGAGATTTTTCATTTTACAGTCTCTCAGGGACCACTAGAGCGTGTTAAATTATGTTTTCTCCCTCAGGTTTAATTAATAACTTTTTTGCTTACTGGATAGAATTTTTAAAATGTTTCTTTAAACACAGATCCAAAAAGGAGCCACTAGGTTACATATATATGGGAGATTTCCAAACCAGGATTTCTGGGTACCATTTCTATATGCTTTCAGGGAAAGTTAGTTCAAATAATGACAATGCGATATCATTCATTCTTTTTAAATAGACAGAGTTGATAAAAGGATGGTATTAAGATGGGCCCAGGAGGCCATAGTAGGCTGTATGTGTATATATGCTGTGTGTGTGTTGGTGTGTGTGTGTGTGTCTTTAAGGTGACAACTTGTTTCTGAATAATGGCACCTGGGTTCAGTCTATTCCAGAAGATGAGTCATAATAGAAAAACCAGAACTCAAAGCAACAGAGGGAAATACAGAGGGAATGCTTTTTCAGTTCTTAGGGTACTTTTGTAGACAATGAAGTAGACATACAACATCTGGACAGAAGGAGTTGTTGTGCTTTCAAGTTTCACTGGCACAAAGGCCATTTTCTTCTTTGCTACTCCATGACACTAATTCTCATCACTCTCTTGCTTATTCCCCTGCCGCGCTGGCTTCCCAAAGAAAGAAGCACTTTCCTCAGGATCTTCACATTGACTCTTCCTCCTGCTTTGCATACGCTTCTTCAGGTAGCTCTGTGACTCCTGTTCTGTATTCATTGATTTATTTGCAATAGTTGCAGTTTTGTGCGATACACTGTTTTTTTTTTTTTTTTGGAGAGGTTTTTGCTATAGGGTGCGTGCGCTCTCCAGACAGAGAGAGACAGAGAGACAGAAAGTGAAAAATCACCCCTGGGGAGGATGGCCATGCTGCAATCCCTTCTCCTCCATTCTCCTCTCGGGATCTTGGGCACGCACGCACACGCTCCCGGCGTGAGTTTAAGCCACTGGGTCCGGGACTGGAACTGTGGTCGACTATGTGGGAGTCCAGCGACAGTCATTATGCTAACTGCTGGTTCCCAAATTTATTTGTTTATTTATTTTAATTTGACCAGAGAGAGATAGAGTGTGAGAGAGAGGTGGAAAGAGAAAGAAAGCCACCAGGTCCAGAACTTGAACCATTGGTCATGTGAGAATCCAGTGCCCTTAATCACCACACCACCTGCCGGCCCCAACTTGTTGTTGTCTTAAACTATTGGTGGGTTGCAACAAAGATTCTTAGATATTATCACTATTATCATTTGCTTGTTATTATTAAATATCTGTTTTCCTGTAGTTATAGACTTTTGAATAATTTTTATGGATTATTCTTTCTTCATTGATATTTGCATGCTGGTCCTGTGTATTGATCAAATCAGGACATTAAACATTCATTATCTTCAATGTTTATCATTACTGTATTTATATGGTAATTTTCTTCTTGTTGTTTGTTTGTTTTGCTTGTTTTTTCGGTCTGTCATTAGACTGTAGGAACTTTCATTTTAGAGCTCTATTAACTCCTTTTCTTTCTTCCTTTTTTTCTTTAAAAGAATTATTTATTTACCTTTATTTATTCATTCATTTAATTTGATCAGAGAGAGACAGAGAAAGAGAGAGAGAAAGTGAGAAAGCAAGCCACCAGGTCCAGGATTTGAACCATGGTTGGCCATGTGGGAATCCAGTGTCCTTAACCACCATGCCACCTGCTGGCCCTGGAACTTTCATTTTAGAGCTCTATTAACTCCTTTTCTTTCTTCCTTTTTTTCTTTAAAAGAATTATTTATTTACCTTTATTTATTCACTTTTTTCTTTAAAAGAATGATTTATTTACCCTTATTTATTCATTCATTTAATTTGATCAGAGAGAGACAGAGAAAGAGAGAGAGAAAGTGAGAAAGCAAGCCACCAGGTCCAGGATTTGAACCATGGTTGGCCATGTGGGAGTGTTCAGCACCTTAACCCCCACGCCACCTGCTGGTCCCTAGAGCTCTATTAACTCCTCTTCTATAAAGTGCCCGAAAAATGTCCAAATTCAATATGCGTTCCTAAAATGCATGAAAGATTTTCCCCTAAAACTATAGAATACTTGTTCCAGGTGGTAGGCTGAGCCTGGAACAGAAATATTTTCAGAGAATCTCTTAAAAGAGACCACACTCACATGCAAAAATAGAGGAATTAAGCTCTCAAATATGGAAGTAATGACAACATTTCTGATAGGTGAGTAATGCATGCTTGTTATGTTCTCTTTCTCTCTCTCTCTTTTTTTTTAGTAGTCACACCGATCACATGGAAAGAAGGAATGATACACCAATTTCAGGATTTCTTCTATTGGGATTTTCAGAGGAACCCAGATTGCAACCCTTTCTCTTCGGGCTGTTCCTCTCCATGTACCTGATCACCATGTTTGGGAATCTGCTTATCATCCTGGCCACCATCTCAGACTCCCTCCTCCACACCCCCATGTACTTCTTCCTCTCCAACCTGTCTTTAGTAGACATATGTTTTGTTTCAACCACTCTCCCCAAAATGCTGGCAGATATACAGACACGGAGCAAACTCATAACCTTTGAAGGCTGCATTACTCAGATGTACTTTTTTATACTCTTTATAGGAATGGACAACTTTCTCCTCGCTGTAATGGCCTATGACCGGTTAGTGGCCATCTGTCACCCCCTGCACTACCGTGTCATCGTGAACCCTCAGCTCTGTGTGTTGCTGGTAGGGGCATCCTGGATCTTGAGTGTCCTGAATTCTTTGTTACAAAGCTTGACAGTGTTGGGGTTGTCCTTCTGTACACATGTGGAAATCCCTCATTTCTTCTGTGAACTTTATCAGGTGGTCCACCTTGCCTGTTCTGACACCTTTCTTAATGACATGGTCATGTATTTTGCATCTGTGGTGTTGGGTGGTGGAACTCTTTCTGGAATCGTTTACTCTTATTATAAGATTGTTTCTGCCATACGTGCAATTTCATCAGCTCAAGGGAAGTATAAAGCGTTCTCCACTTGTGCTTCTCACCTCTCAGTTGTCTCCTTATTTTGTTGTACAGGCCTGGGCGTGTATCTGAGTTCAGCTATGACCCACAGTTCAGAATCAAGTGCAACAGCTTCTGTGATGTACACTGTGGTCACCCCCATGCTGAACCCCTTCATCTACAGCCTGAGGAATAAGGACATAAAAAGGGCTCTGAAAATACTCTTCCAAGGGAACTTATAAAATGTACATTTTTTGGGACCAGCAGTTGGCATAGAGGCTATGTTGCTGGACTCCCATATAGTTGAGCATGGTTTGAGTCCCGGACTTGGTGGCGTAAACTCACGCCGGGCGCGTGTGCGTGCATGCCCAGGATCCTGAGAGGAGAATGGAGGAGAAGGGATTGAAGCATGGCTATCCCCCCAGGGGATGATTTCTCGCTTTCTGTCTCT